AAATTAAATAGAATCTGTGCTTTATCTCTGCATCCCCTTAGCACATCATCGGAAATTTTAAAGGAGCTAATTCTTCAGTGACCTATAGCTACTGCGGAAAGTAAGGAATTCAAGGCTCAAGAGAGACATGAAAACGCCTGTTTCACTTTCTGGGTGGTCRTTTTAATGCTTCTCCCTCCTCTGACTTCTTCTGACTGATCAGCCAGCCTTTAAACAAGGAAAACTCAACAGTCACAGACAGAGGTATATCATAGGTTTTTACACATTCCCCTGCAACATTCAAATACCCCAAGATAGGAAGGAACAGCCAAGCTTCCTGCTCTGGCCGAGCTGGAGTCCCTAAGTGCACTCTCGGAAGACAACAGTTCGATGTTGGAGAGAGACACGCTGCCTTCCCGTGACCCAAACAGGAGTTGTGCAATTCTCCACATCCCTGACTCAACGTTAGCCAAAACCATGGCCTTGCCACCCCCCTCTACATTCCTGCAAATGTTCTTCCCGCTTCCCTGAAATCTGTGACACTTGAAGCACACACCAAGTGTCTTGAGTCACTGCCCAATGACTGTTACAGTTAAATCAGCAGGAGGTTACTGAGAAATCTAATGGRTCTTTTCCACAAACTTGGACTTTCTTCCTTCTTCATTTTCTCAGACTAAAGAGATGACAATCAGCATTTATGATAAAGCACAGTGAACAAACTGCAGCTATTTTGAAACAGCTTTTTATCTCTCTGCAGGTTATTTCATTTCTTSACAGCTTGCTTCCACACTCCAACACTGGATCTACCAACAATCACCTGGAATATGAGCAAATATATCAACATTTGAATTTTTACCAGCTTAGAGACATTATTTAATATTTGTTCCCCATTAACACTTTGAATTTTTTTTTCCAGCAATATTAGTATATAAACTTCATATTAAAAAAAGACAAAAAACCAAACCAAACAAAAAAACCTCACCAAACCCMAAAAAAGCAGCACCACCTTCTACAAAAGAAACAGTCTTGAAACAGTCTGTCTGGAGCAGCCACTCTCCAGAAGCATGGGGTGGTCTTCTAAAGCTAGCCCTAACCACACTGGAGAGACTGGGAACAAAAGCTGCAAAACTCTTGGAATAAGAGGTTTTTCTATGACATGTGCTATGTAGAAATTCACCAACATCAAAGAAGAATGAGACAGTTTTTTATCTTTTGTTTGAAGCTGGGATTAATTAGATTTATGCCCGTAAAATTCACATAATATTTGCTTTTATGTGTCTTTTTAAGATTTGTCTTTTTGTCTGCCACTTTGCACTACTTTGGATTGAGAAAAGRTAGTACTGWATCAAAAAATGAAGATGCAGGAGARCTCAGGAGTGGTGGTGAATGGAGTTACATCCAGCTGGGAGCCAGTCACAGTGGGTGTTCCCCAAGGCTCAGTACAGGGCCAGTCCTGTTTTAACAGCTTTAGTAATGATCTGGAGSAGGGTACAAGTTGGGCAGGAGAGTCGATCTGCTGGAGGGTAGGAAAGCTCTGCAGAGGGATCTGGGCAGGCTGGAGTGATGRGCAATTGTGTGAAGCACAAGGCCAAGTGCTGGGTCCTGCACTTGGGTCACACCAACCCCAAACAGCATACAGGCTGAGGGCAGAGTGACTGGAAAGCTGCATGTTAGAAAAGGACCTGGGGGTCAACAGCAGCCAAACATGAGCCAGTGTGTGACCTGGTGGCTAAGGCCAATGACATCCTGGCCTGACTGAGCAATAGTGTGGCCAGCAGGGCAGTGACCTTCCCCTCTATTCATGCAGGTGAGGCCACATCTCAGTTCGCTTTTGGGCCACTCACTACAAGAAAGACACTGAGGTGCTGGAGTGTGTCCAGAGAAGGGCAATGGAACTGGTAACGGGTCTAGACAGTAAGTCATATGAGAAGTGATTGAGGGAGCTGGGGTTGTTTAACCTGAAGAAAAGACGGTTCAGAGAAAACCTTATTGCTGTCTACAAATATCTGAAATGAGGTTTGTAGTCWGGTGGGGGGTTGGCCACTCCTGCCAAGTAACAAGTGACCAAGCAAGAGCAAACAGCCTCAATTTGCACCAGGGAGGATTAGATTGGATATTTAGAATTYATTATTTTTTTTWATGGAAAGGGTGGTCAGGCATGAACAGGCTGCACAGGGAAGTGATTGAGCCCGTATCCCTGGAGGTATTTGAAAGACGTGTGGATGTGGCATTCAGGGACAAGATTTAGTGGCAGATTTGGTAATGCTGGGTTAAGAATTGGACTTKATGATCTTAACAATCTTTTCCACCCTAAATGATTCTTCATATTTAAGCCAAAGCAAAGCAGATTCACATTTTTCGTGACTCTGCTTACATTTTCTCTGCTTCCCCAATACCTTGGTGATATGCTTGAAATKACTTAATACAAATCCTACACATCTTGAAAACACTCAAGCAGAGAAGTACAAGGCAAGTGGAAAAGACTTATTTTGTTCCAAATGTGACCTACCAAAAGAGTAGCAAAGTAACGTGCCTTTGAACTCATACCTGTCTGCCAGCTCAATATATGCAGGAGGAAGGAGAATAAATTGTTTCTTATCCCRTATCTTATCCTCTTATCCCTTCCTGTTCAAAAAAGCTTGCTTTCAAAGGTATAAAATGCCAAACAACAGAAGTGAATTTGGACACTGGATTAGTGCCCAGAATGGCTGCTTCTGCAAAAATTCACAAATTCCAGTAACTGCTTTGCTGCAATGGCAAGTAGAAAACCTCATGSCTTTTCCTGGAAAGGAGCATGAAGTTTCACAAAAAATAGGGTTTTTCAATCTTCAAGCTGATCTTTGAGTCTGTCATGGATCTAAAGATGCTCTAAACCCACAGTCAGCAGTCAACTGTTGTCTCCCACCCATCCCGGTGCATCTGTCCTGCTCCCCACTGTCCTGGCTGCTCCTGGCAAGTTGCTGTCTAAGGTCCTCAGCTGTCAGCCAGAGAATATCACATCAATACTCTGACCCCCATTCTTTCAGTCTGTGAGGTCTTCATGCCTTTTATGTTGAGCTGGCAGAATAGCTGGGGCAAACTGGAAGAACAGTATTCCATAGACARTCTGAGACCTGGAGCTAAGAAGAATTCTACAAAGAACTAGTTTAAAGAAATGAAGCAAAACCAGAATACTTTCACAATATTGTAACATTTATATTGTGTATTTAAATCACAGCTTAATTTTCTGCAAAGACAATACTTGACAATTCATTTCCTAGTGTAATCAGTTAAACAAAGAAAAAGGCCACCTTAGAATTAAGTAACCGAGAAAATATACAACATGCTACTTCACTGTTACGTGCAACACTGGCAATAAATTTTGAAACTAGGCACTAAAACTTTGAAAAATGTTAAATTTATCAGAAAACACTAAAATGCTAAATCATTAGTAAGCAATGTTGATTCAATTCAATGCTGTCTGATTTAAAAGACTCATCAGCCTTTTCACTACTTTTACACCTACTAGTTAAACCAAGCACACTCTCAATGCAACATAAGATGCACTTTTCACGTTTGCAAAGAAGAGCAAGAAACAGAAGCTAAAAATGACTTTATATRTCTTATGCAGCTGTTTTGTATTTTCACAAATTTGTGTAGTAAGAACAATGTAAATGCATTGTASGTGCATCATATATACATTCCAGGAGAAACATGATACCTATGTGGCAATGATGGTATAGAAAATGAGATCTATAGGGAGGAGCAAGAGGTAAGACTTTTTTTCTCATGTACCTAAAGTTGAGTAGCATCTCTGAAAAATCAGTCAAATCAAGAAACATCCCTTCGGCCCTCACATGTGGCTACTTGTGTGATCTTGGAGTAGGGAAGAGAAAAAARATCATTTATCAAAGGTGTGAATTCAGTCCTAATGATTTTTGTTCTTTAAAGGGTACACATTAGAAATGAAAGTCTCAGAATCAGAAGAGAGAATACAGAAGATCAAAATTTCATTTAACTCTTCTTGTTTCCAGTAAAAAACATGCCTGTAGTTAAGTTGTATATCAAGTGAATTTCCAATTACTCAAAGTATTTTATTTTCTAAGAAAATAAACCTAAACACATCCCTCCCCCAATCTGACAATTCTTACTACACTGTCTACCAAAGCCTGAAGCCATGCACTCATAACATCATGTAAACAAAATGCTGAGTATTTAGGCAAGCTCTTACACAGATCTGCAGTATATTCATAATTCTACAGAATTTTTAAACTCTAAATGCAAGGAATCCAATCTGGTGRCACAGATAGCATGATTTCTGAATATAATTTCCAGATTAAATTCACAGCCTGGGCAATAACCATCTGCAGTCAGCTTTAACCTCTGCATCCTGGCTAAATGCTAACTGGCATCACTCATTCAAGTCCTTCCAAAAATTCCTTAGAAGTTTCATCCAAATTCAATTTTTTTCACATTCTGTGCTATAAAAGTCTCTAGAGTCTTGCTGCATGCTTTTAAACATCTGCCAGAAGAAACTATACTCCCATGATACAGAGCATAATCTGTTTGCATGGTTTAAAAATACTTTCATAGCCTGTGAAATGGGGTCTGTTCTGTCAGAACAAAATTAAATCGGTTTAATTGGTGAAGAGTCATTCCAGGCACAAAATTAATGAACTCAGTGCAGTGTTCAATCTCCTATAAGTATCTAGCTATAGAGAGACGAAACATCAACAGAAGTGTTCTGTCACTTTTAAAACATTTCAAAGACCTAAGYTGCCATCTTTTACATATTGACTGGAAAACTGGTAAATCACAACCATCTCCAAGGCAAAAGTATATAATAGCATCCTGGCTTTTCACAAACATACTGTACATAATTCTGCTGTAGCAAAGTGAGTGTGGGGAAAAAACCCAACAACTTCTGAAACTGAAATCTAGTGCCAGAAAGAAGCAAAAAAGAAGTGTAAAAGAGGGAAAATGTACTATGTATTACAAATAGACATCAATGAAAAATATTTTTGATCAAAAAAATGCCTTACCTTGAAAAGTTGAGGAAATGAACATGTCTAGTGAATAAATAGGGCTGCTCAGCAGTGCTTATGTTTTTAATCAATTCCATCTAAAAAGAATTAACAAATCAAATTTTCAATGTTACATCTACACACATTTTGAGACAAACATAAAATCATCAAACAACATACAATGATATAATTTTCAAGTCTGAATTACTCAGGACTTCCTTCCCCACTATCCCTCCCAAACACTGTCATCAAGATAGCATGATGAATGCCTTATGTCTAAGCAARAAAGGTTGAGCTGYAGACACCATTTTGCTATCATAGAGYTTATGTACTTCCAAAAGTGGGTATCAGTTTAAGGAAAGGCATAAACTAAAGAAAAAAAAWCTAAACTCTCTAAATCTGCAAGAGTTTTCCAAGTGGCAGCTGCCCTCTGAAGACATTAGCTCCATTCACCCCAATGCCAAAAATGCAAAATGTCTGAAACTGTAACAGAAAGTGGGAACTGAACCAAGGGCCATTTTCATGTAACAATAATGCTGCCAAGACAGCCAGGACTCCGATTGATCTGGTTGCTTAAATATAGACATCAGCACTCGCATAGCTTTTCCTATTACAATAAATTAGAAGCACAAATTAAATTTTATTTGTCTTTTAAAAAGATGCTAAATTCTACTTCAGGTACCTGAAGTAGAACATAACACATAACTTTTTTTTTTTCACATAACTTTTTTTTTTAATATAAATAGTTCAAATTTTCAGAACATTGAAATGGAATAATGTAACCAACACCATGGATATGATCATCTATTTTGTGTAAGCTGAGCTCTAAATATGATTTAGMGGAAACTGGAAGTGTCTAGTGAAGCATCATACTAGGGAGTCCACATTTCAGTTAATTTTGCTTCTTTCTTATTTATTTCCTAAGGTTTATTTTCCAATTTTCTGTTCTGTGTTCAAGTGCAGGCTATGCTATGGACACTGAACACAAATGCACTCAAAATGACAGGTTTATTGATTTTACAAACTGTGTAGCAGAAAGCAGTTCATACATTGTGGAAAAAAAAAAGAGGTAGGTCTGTGAGCCACACATTCTGGTTTGAATCATGTTAATTTACATACTAAATTTAAACACCATTAAGGAGACATTAATTAAAAAAAATATTTCTTGAAACTTGAATGCTTTAGTTGACTTAAACAAAATAAGCAAAAATATGGAGTCCAGCCTGTTGTGTAGTCAAAATAGAGTGACTAGCATGTGTGTAGTTACTAGCAGCAAAAATTCTGCCCTTGCCATAGCAAATAGCAAAACACATTTAGGAGACAGCAATTGCCAAATCTTACCGTCTTCTGTTGTCCAGTTTCAATATACTGATATTCTGCCATGGTTTTTATGTCATGTGTCACATCTTACTGCTTCTTATCCATCTTTCATTCTCCACTTTTTTTTTAGAGCATTTGCCCTGCCACCTTCTTTCAGCCACAACCTATGGCCATTTAACTCCCAGGACTGAATAAAGAAGTGCATACACTAATACATTTTCTTCACTTGACCTCGGTCTTCAACAATTTTATACACATGTATGATGATTACTGAACAAAGAGTTCAGCTTGTCCATCTTTTCAGGATGGACCTTTTTAAGTCAAACTTGTTTGAATACATTGAGGCATACAGACCTTATGCATCAAGACATACTAGGGCTGAGTAAGTATAGCAAGGCAAATAATACTGAAAAAGGCCATAAACACAAAGAAATKGAACATAAGATGAGATTACCAAAAGAAAGACAGTATAAAGGGAAAATAGAAACAAGAGAATATGGAGAGAAGATGTGCAATTAAAAAAAATTTAAAAAGCAAATAAAAAAAAGAGGCAGGAAGGGAATAGCATCCCTGCTTTGGTTAGTCATATGTAGACTCTGGACTGTTTGATTCTAGCACAAACATGTCTTTATACAGTTTCTTCAGTAGAATACAAATGCATGGGGCAAAAAATGTACAAACCTGAAGAGCAAAGCTTGCCCAGATCAGAATTAGAAAGCCCWGGAATCTTTGCAATACTTGGCACAAAGGAATTGAATTTTGTTTGTTCATGCTCTGAAGAGACAAAGGCTTTCCTAGCAAACACAAACCATGCTGACACTTCTTTACAACTGGTAACTCGGTAACTCTCTCTGCCAAAAAATGATATCTATTCACCTTGTGGAACCAAACAAGAGGAGACTGGTGCCTGTGTATTAGATGTCTCAATGGGATTTGGTTGGTGGTTTTTTTTTTTTTTTCCAGGTTTTTTGGTTTTTGTTTTTTAACTCAGACAAGTTACAGGGGAAGCAAAATTCTCAGAACTGTATGAAGCTTTATGTTATATTTTGCATTTTATTTGTGTTTACTACTATCTGCATGAAGTAAGGAAGGAAGATGCCAGAAGGAAGCTACTGATATTGTACGAAAACTCTATTCATGCCCACATGTTCATCACTGTAATTCCATTTTGGAAATGAAAAAACTAGTGTTCTAATAATAATAAATACATAAATAAATAAAAATTACTAGAGTATAAATATGGAGATATAAAGATACTGCACCCAAACAAAGTAATCCCACTAAATTTAAAGCCACAGGCAGCTCTCACAGAATACTCCTAGATAAACTTAGCTGGGGATGTATGTGAGTGTTGCAAAGCACCACATGAGCTTCCCTTGGCTCCCAGCTGTCCCCAGGGCTGTCACCAATTTGCTATCAGGAAGCAGATTCACATCACAGCACTGCCACGTTTCTCACTTCATTTCACCTGATGTCAGTGCCAGGGTCACATGAACCTGCTGCTGGACAAGCACAGGCACTTCAGCCTCAGGAACAAAGGATAGCTGGAAAGATGCACACAGAGCAGGACAGCATCTAGCTCCTGGCTTTTTTTCAATCTCTTGCTACCAAACTCAGTATCTTGAGCTAAGACAACAGCTTGCTCCAAAGCAGAAACAGAATTTTGTTGTGACTTAGAGTACCTTCATATTTAGACACTTAATGATCAACTGGACTTGTAAGCAGATGTGGATAAAGCTACAATGTGCATAAGAACAAACAAGCAAAATCCATTCTTTTAAAAACCCTGCCAAAAGGATAAGTAAGGCTCAACTGAAACAACACACAGATGTCAGGAGGGAAAAATAAATAACTGTAATGGCTCAAGGCCACATGCAACTTGTGGCCATATTTCCCATGGACCCCTCTCTCCCTCTTTGATCATGCTGTCCTGAACTGATCTCAGTCTGACAAACCAATGTATTGCTCAGACACAGTGATCTCTCCCTCCTTATAAGATGATAAAGAAAAGAAAAAGCAAAAAAAAAAAAAAGGAAAAGTCTTTCAGCGTCTCTGAGAAGAGTAAGTTTGGTTTGCTGGTTTTGTTTGTCAGATTTTGTTTGTTTGTATGCTTGTTTCTAAAAGATGAAACAGGAAAGAAAGAAACATGTGGATTACCCACAGCGAGAAACAGTGAGCAGAGGATGAGGATGAAGAAAACAAGTACTTTTGGATGTAATGAGCAATCAAGGAGAATGACACACAAGTACAGATGATCACGTCATCGTAAGTTTGAAAAGAAATAAAAAGGTACAAGTAGCAGAGGATAAGGAGCCCTGGCAAACAGTTAGGGGAGAGATTAATCAGAAAGGAGCATGTACCTGCTAGGATAAGGGCTCATAAAGAGCCATTTCTCTTTCTCATGGCTGCCCAGAGCTCTCTTGCAGGAGTTAGGCAGCTACAGTTAAACACTGCTGYAAAATACACTAATTTGCTCTTGAAAGTAACTAAATTGTACCATAGAGGTAATGCTGCTAAAGAAGGATCCAGAGAGAGGAAAATGCCTGAGGAGTGGGTGTGAAAGCAGGTGATGTGCTGCGCTCCCCAACAGAAAGGGGTGCACGCAGACAACATGGCTGCAGTCTGCAGAGATGCTAAGCCACAGCAAGCAGCTGCCAGGACCTCTGTGGTGTGATCAACACATTTGCTGTCATCCCACTCATTCCCCTCAAACACTAATTAATTTTAAGGAGCAGTGTCTTTTCTACAATAACATCTTTCTACCACTGTCACTCCTTGATTAATATTTTATTCTATGTTTTTCTCCTTAACTCATTTTTTGCACCAATTATTAATTGGGCCCTTTAAAGAAGACCAGATCCACAGAGGCAATCCTGTGAATCACAAGCTACTTTTGAAACTTAAAGCCCACCTGAGAAGGAGCATCAAGATGCAATACTCCAGGATGAAAGTTTTTCCCTTACTCTACACTACCACTGTAGGATCTTAGGTGCCCATACGGCAGAAACCAAACTGCAATGGCTCGGCATCATCTGTCATGGGCTGATGCTGCATTACAAATAACATTCCAGCAGATGGCACCGTGAAGTGACTCCGAGAGGGCGGGATGGAGCCCTGCCTGAGAAGGGAGAAATGTGGGGGATGGATTTTCTCCAGCCGTAGCATTACTCCTGCACAAAAACTCATCTCTGGCCTTGGAGAGAGGACACCTTTCCCTCTTCTGGAGATGGCCAGTCCAGTCTCTGCGCTGACTGCCCAGAAGAGCCACACTTTGTGTGAGATTTGCTATAAGTAAATTCTACTGGGAACAGAAGGAAATAATCAGATAACAATCCCATCCAGACAACAGCCACAATGTTTTTTTTTTTTTTCAGATGCTGTATTTCACTGTGAGAATTCAACATCAAAATGTATAAAAATGGTGAGGCAACTGGGATTTTCCAAGTGCAGTCTGCTGGATCATAATATGGTCTCCACTAATACTGACACAAAAAGGGGGAAAAAAAAAGTCTCTGTATCTATCTTCCTTGTGAGCTCATTACCTTCTTCCACTGCTTTCAATCTCTACTGAAGGCATGTAGGGCTCAGGAGGCACAAGTACCTACAAGAATTTTAGTATCTCACTTTCATCTCAGTACTTATTTCCATAAATAACCCACAACTCCCAGGAATGAGACTAGATCTCCTTTTTCAGCTCTCAAAAGCTTGGAATGGTTTCAAGAATTTCTTCACCTCTCCAAGCTGGTATGGCCAATTTTCTGTCTTTAAATGCATTTAAGAAAAATTAGTGATGGATTTTTAGTGTTTTGAACTGGAATTGCATATAAAGTTGGCTGCACAGCTGTAATGATGGGTGGTAGAAGGAAACAATTTGAGGATAAATTCCAGTTACTCCCGTATGTGACTGGTATTTGTATATCTATAAGCACACTCAATCTGAATGCAACACTTCYCTGAATGCAATAAAATGGGAGTGGAGGACATAGGGCAGGAGAAGATTTCATTTTGCAGCAGTTCATGTGGCATTTAAACCACATCAGTTAGATTAGCATTAATATTACATGTTATTTTCTGTATTTAATTGACTTGAAAATATTATAGCAAATGGCAAGGCACACATTAATACATCTGTTTCCAGAATTCGCTCCTTTATGCCCACAGATGTTCAAAGGCTGCACTTCTAATTGCTGGCAGACACACATAATTTGGAAAAATTTCTTAGTAGGAAGGAGACTAGAAAAGCCAACGAGAATATGGATTTCAGTTGTGTGCAATCCCCACAGTCATTAAGAGCACCTACATGCTTAACTTTATTTAACAACAGCAGACTGCATAAGCTAAATATTTACAGAGAAGTCTTGGCTGGATCAGGGCTTTAACCAAACACAGGAGAGACAAATGACAGAAGGAAGAGAATCATATCATCTCAAGTGAGAAGCCCATGCTCACGCCGGAAGCCTCCAGCACAGCAGAGCTCTCTTTTTTCTTGTTCCAATGCCTGGAGCCTGAAATCATCCATTCCCTTAACTTCCGATTGTGTACACCAGATTAAACGTAGAAAAAATAATTTATTTTTTCATATTCTGCTCTTAGGAATTGAGAAGACAACTAAAAATGCCCTGAATAACAGAATAGTTACTGTCTCCAAGCACCTTTCCTGCTGATCAAAGGCATTTTTCAGCAAAACTAYTCATTAAATTATAACCTATTTTCATTATGGGAAAAAAACCATAAATGAAAACAAAGAGACTCAAATTATTGCAGGGAAATCTACAGAGTAAATCATCAGCTCTGTAGCAATACTTCCAGCACATTTATTGTCTAGCAACTTAACATCTTAGGGAGTGCAAAAGGTAATGCAGATAGTTATGTGTCTGGATTGGTTGCATCAAAAGCGTGTCTGGGCCTCTCTGGAATCTCCATATGCTGGACTAAAGCACAGAAGACCATGCAGAAGTGATCTTGTATCACGTTTTAATTTTTAACAAAGGAAAATCCACTCACCAAAGAAAGACAGAACAGAACAGAACTGAATGGAAGAAGCTGATGAGCGTGAAAGCTGGTGATTATTAACACCTGAAAGATTTTTGGGTTTTATGAYATCTTGCAATCAGAAATGAGAACTGATGAAAGATACAAACAAAACCCAAATAACTCAAAACATAAAACCAGCCATACCCACAGAAATCCCCTATCCTATATCCCAGCAGAAAAATGAACTGGACAGGCTCTGTAGCACGGGATAGTCTGACCCGTTTCTGATGGGATCACATGGCAACCTACCCCGGCTATGTGGTGCTGCCAGTAGGATACACAGAGGGATGCTGAGGTGCCTTCCCTCACCCACAAGCAGGGGCAGTGAGGGGACACTGTGACCCTCCACAGCCTGTCACTGGTGYGTCACACCCAACCATGCATAGCAGCCACCTTTGGGCCGGTGTGGCAGTCCTGGCCAGCTGGTCCCCAGCACTGGCTGAATTTGACTGTTTACAGAGTGTTAGGTCAGCCTGCCGCTGGTGCGACCCCAATGGACACCCTGAAGGGGAGAAAGCCAGGAACTGCAGGAGCAACATCAGCTCCTAAATTTTCATTTGGAATGAACTGCTACATCTAAAACAACAAACATGTGCTCATGAAAAAGCTGCAAGTAAATAACCCCAATCACAGTCACTGGCAGGCCCACATCCATATTGTGATCATCGCACACATCCTCTTGTGGTTTACAGGCTGCCGTTCCTGGAAGTGACACAGGCAGTGGCTGCAGCCTTCACCTGGATCAGCAGCTCAGAATAGCAGCAGTGGGCAACGTGCAGCATCCAACTACAGATGTGCACCTTGAATCTGAGTTTTTCCTGCACTATTTGGATCAATCTACTAATGGAAGTGTTACTTACAGTGGGTATATGGTTACCCCAAAGAAAATTTAAATAACTGGATCTTTTCCAGAAGCTATGCTACAAAACTAATCCTTCTACAGCTTTACGGGAACATAAAGAAGGGTGTCTGGGTAAAGAGGTTTCATGAGGTTTTTTCACTTCCTTTAATRACGGTTATGCAGTGAACATGAAAAAGACAGATAAGCAAGAAGCTGAGATAGGATCAACGATGTGTCATATTATAGCAACATGGGTTAGGCATAGTCCTGGGTAACAACTTTTTGAGGCAACTGATTACTAGAAGTGAATTAAGAAAGTCACCAAAAGAGACCCTTTTGGCTATTATTTACTCCTGCTCTGCTTAAGGAGACCCAAGCTAGGCCTAAATAAGCTGTCCTTGTAATAAGAGAAAAGGCTGTCCCCTGCAGATGTATTAATACATGTTCCAGATGCTGTTAGCACTTAATKTCACTGTACTAACCTTTCTTGCCTCACTGGTAGTCTAACCGCTATGCTGACTGAATTCAAGAGCTGCTCACCGGAAGTTAGTTTTTCTGGTTATCTTCCACATCACGCTGTTCTTGGCTCTGCCACTCATTTCTCTTACTAACTGAAGACACTGAAGAATGAATTGCAAATGATTACTGAAGACAAAGTAGCAACACATCCTTTCATCAGGATTTCTGCTGGCATATGCCTTTGTTTCTCAGTTTTGTACATAATAAGAAAACAGTATCCAAGTGGAGCTGGAGTAACTTACCTGTTCATTTTTGGTCAGTCTTGTTTTGTTATGTATGTCAGACGTAACGAGGTTGAATCCGTGTTTCTCTGATAAAATTCTCAAAAGCAAAACCACAGTTCGACTCCCGCACTTTCCAACTCTGTTGTAGACCACCTGACTGGGGAAAGGAAGTACCTAAATAAAGATTGGAAAAGATGGAGTCAGTATATTGATATTTTTGTTTCTGTGTACCTCTGAATCATGTTTTGACCTTAAGCCAACAGACACATAGAGGAGAATTTCTAGGGCTCTGCCCAGGTCAGAGGCACTCACTTCCTCCAACAAGCTAAAAGCTCTTCCCAACATGGCCCAGAGAAGTGGCAAGGTGAGATAACTACCGTGCAGTTTAATTGGCAGATTGGCAACTAGTCCAGAAATACTATGTAACTGCTGATAAAGAGCTTAAGTTTATTGCTCATAATCTCAATACAAATAGTCAGCTTTAGTTGCCTGTCTCCCATAAGAAGAATTAAAAGGAGTGAATTGGCACTACAGTTTGGCAACTCAAAGTCAATTTGACCTAATGCAAGAAGAATGCTTGAATTGCAAAACTTCAGCTTAAAAAGAAACAAACAAAAAAAAAACGATCAACAAGCAGTTGCACAATGTTAAAATTTATCAGCTCTTTTAATTTCAAATATAAACATGAATCTTTCAAAGACACTCAGAGAACAAATGCCACCGGACAAGAATCTATTTGCAGAATTAAAGACCCAGGGCCACAGGCCAACGGGCACAGTCTGATCATTCTGTACAGGTAATGTTCATAAAACCTCAAAATAGAACAGCCACATCCAACCTGGGATGGTTGGGAATCCAACCTGGCCACTGGGAATGGTGACCAGCCCACACTAACCCTTGCACTCAGTTGTCCTCCCCAGGAAACCAGAATAAGTGAGTACTAATTCAGTGTCTCATAGTATGCCAGATGCAGCCTTATTTTGCTCCTCGTTGATATCTATGGGCTATTGCTTCAGCAAAAGGCATTCCAAAGTCATACTATCACAGTAGAAAGTATTTGCTCTATAGCATAGAGCAGCATATGATAATATAAGCCCAGAAACTGTTCCCAAACCTTTAAATTGGCTGACAGAGTTATGAGCTCATGGTTTCACTCACAGTGGTGCATACATGGCACTTAAGGAAAGATCACTTTTCTATTAAGACAATGGTACACTTTTCCTTGACCCAGGGCTTGCACCTGGGTTCCAGGCAACCTGTGCCCAGCATAAGGAATGGCCAAAGTGATGGTGTGTCTCAACACATAGTTACTTCTGCTGTCAATGTTCTCCCAGCAGAAGGATTTCTAACACAAAAGCAGCCAGATGAGGCAAATGGCACTTTTCAGAGCAGAGTACTTCTTCACTGCATTTGAACAACTACTAGATCTTCATCAGGAAAGCAAAACAATTCCTTAGGCCACCCTTCAGACTACTTTCAAAGAGAACTGTCAACTAGAAAGAAAAAACAAAAAAAATCTACAGGCACCTTGTTGACAGTGTTACACTTCATGACCAAATGAATTGTTACTGGTTGCAATGTTTAGAATATCCTGCAATGCAACATAAATGTGGAGGCCACTGTTCTCCAAATTACCTTGGGAAGGAGTAGGTATTGGGTCATCTTTATTGATACTTCAGTCAAGTATAGCTTTACTGCGCACAGATTACACTTCAGTTCTAACTAAATCCTTAACTGGACTACCAGTAACTTTGGGTAAATCTTACAAACAGAATTCTTTAAAAACTAGATAAAATTAAAGCAGGCCTTCGTAAATTTTCTATTATAAGTGTAAACAACTTTATCAGCTTGAAAACTGACAGTAGTTACAAGTCTGGCCAGTTCTCACATTTGTTTTTGAAACTCACCTTCCTAGCCTAGGTAGCACAATTCTATTCTGCACACAAGCAAAGACCATGGTAACCCCCATAGAGAAGCCACAGCAAGTACTCACTACAGATAAAGGAATCTGAAATAAAGGTCTATTATCTTCCAACCTGCGTTAGGCTTAAAGGAGGCCAGTGAATCAATGTGTTGGTTTGGTAAACAGCTGAATGCACTTAGGTCCAATCAGACAAGAYTCAGGACAAACACTACCACTCAAAGTTCATTTCAGAAGAACAATCAGGAGTGGTAATCCAAACTTACCCTCAGCTCTGCTGAGTGTGGTTGTCTTCAGGGATTCACTCCTGAAGCTCTGCTCAGGTTTCATCTGTTTACGTCACCAGTGCACTTAACACACGCAAACGCCACAAAGGGTGTGCCCAGTGCACAGTGCCTTGCAATATACAGGCTTTTGGTATATAAGCAAGTATTTTTTTAATGTGACCAGTTCTCTTAGGATGCTGAAAATCAGCTTTCTGTGTTTAGGAAATGTCTGAGTTCTTTCTCAGGAGAAGAAATACCTCTTCCAGAAACATAAGTTTGTATCAGGCAGAACTAAAAATGCAAGAAATGGAAAACTTCTCCAAAGAGGAACTTCCCTCTTCCCCCTCATGATAACTCACACGAGACTCAGACATTACAAGAGATGGTGGCAGAGAATGCAATTGAAAAGAAGGTTCCTCTTGTATTAGCAGAAACAAGGCAAGAAATAGCAGTTGGAGGTTTCCAAAATGCTAATTGTATTACATTTTATTATAACAAGAATATATATCATGTGAACTGACTAACAGCTAAGGTAATGCTCTGGTAACCTGATATTCATGTAACAATATACACAACTTCAAAATAATTGCAGAGTGACTTTACTGAGCACTGCATCAAAGCCCAGAGGTAATATAAACAATTCAAACATGTAATTCACTTTGGAGTTATAGAAATTAGCACTTACAGCGATAAAAAAGTAAAACCCACAGTATAGTTACAACAGCTCTCTCCAAGGGTTTTGGAAAGTTACATGACAATTTACTTGTCAGTTCAAACAGKTTTTTTTTTCTTTTGCTCTACAGTTAAAGGAGATGTCAAGAACCGTTGTGAATGAAATCATGTAGAAGAAGCAAGTCTAACCTCAAATGAACTTGCATTACAGAAAATGACTGTCAAGTAGCTCTGCAGAGAGGTCTGCCAGTCTCAGAAAGGGAGCCACTCAACAGATAACCTGACAAAAGCCCAGTTTTTTATCTTCAGTGGGGGCTTTGTCCCCAGATAAATCTTTGCACCATTAAAGAAAATTAGGCTGGATAATTACTTGCTAAACAATGTAGGGATTTACCCATAGGCCTAAATCATTCCACTTTTACTGAGACAAATCCAGTACAATTTTGCCCATTTGCCAAACATTTCCCAATCCAGGTACAAGTTGGCCAGATGAATAACTCATGTCAGACAAATGTGTTCTCAGAAAGCAATCCATTATATTCACAGCTTCCATAAGTAAGTAACTCCTGTCCTTACACAGAAGCAGGAAAAGAAGTGCATACCAGAACTGGCTTCTCCTTTCTGAGCAGACACTAACCTGTGGTCAGGCAGCACTCCATGTTTAGCAGGTGAATAAGGCCAACAAACACAGACAGTACTGGTAAGATTGTGGAAACAATTAAACATCTGCTGACCTTAAATCAATTATCTCAAATTAAATATCTTTATACAACATCACACCTTCCCAGAACAACCTCTTTATTTCCTTTTCCTGTCCAACTGAGACAGAATTATAATAATTTAAAAAATGGCCTAACTGATCAAAGGAATGGCCCATTTGACTGATGAGTGGAGGATTAGGTAACTACAAACCTGAGAGTTGTCAGTAGTCCATTTCCCTTCAGTGTCACTCCTCCTCCTTCAGTGTCCCCCAAGATTACGTATAGCATAAGGCACATTCTTGCCTGCCGCCTGAAGAATTTCTAACACAACTTGTTCCCAAATTTTGTTACCTACCATGTATTTAATTTTTACTTAACCTTCTACCATTTCCAGAGAGTATCTATTCTCACATTGTGGGTTTCATGAAGATAGATCAGATAATTCAGTTATTGGCTTTGAGATCTTCTTAGATACATTGGATGCCTCTTTTTAACTGAGGTTTTCAACAAGCCTGCCATGGTCTTTAAAGACAAATTCAAAGGCCATTAAGAGAGAACCTTCCAACTTCAGCTCAGGAATTGCTGCTCAAAATCTCATTCCAAACAAATATCAATTTGCTCACCTTTACAGCAATCACAATGAATGAGTTGCTAACACAAAGTTATGTCAGGAAAACATGACTRAACAATGAAGAAGGGAGAAAACAAAATAACTTCCTAGCTAGCATCCTCCTTCCCCATCTAAACCACACAGTTTCAGTCATATCAACATTCACCTGTAAAGTGATGCTAGACAGAGACAAGCTTTTTGAATTAACTAACTAACTTTAAATCAGACCAGCCAGCATGGGCTCCTCTACGGTCACTGAAAACACACTAGAAACCACAAGAAAAGGTAAGGATGAAATTTGTTTGTTTTCAAAGTTAATATGGCATATAGTTGCAGCGGAGCATTGAAAAYAAGGCAGAAGAAGGAACAGAATAGTCTTCTGTTGCACTTTCATTAAGAAACTAATTTAATTGAAAAAGGATGACTTCCCACCCCACCACAAACAATGCATTTCATCTGTTAGACAGATGACATATTTGGAAGACTAAGTTACAATGTGTTCTCTAATGGCTCAACATCCCTAAGTACTAAGACAAATTGAAAACATAAGCATGGAGCACAAGCAGCAAAAGGAAATTCGGTGGCAGACAGTCCTCGAATTTATTAAGACAAAAGAAAAGCATTACTATGAAGTGTCTGCCAAAACCTATGTCCCTGATGTGTCCCACAAGACAGATGTGAATAGCCAAAATTAAAACCTCCTGTAATTTTTCTGTGAAGATCTCAGTTCAAAACATAGTAAAGTCTCCCATTAAGTCTCAGACCASGTCCTGTTACAAGGTACTATGGCTATAGAAACAACAATAATATTAATCATGCAAAAATTACAAAGAAAAGGTCAAAGATTCAGTTTTCAATATTCAAAGTTTTGGCTCCATCATGTCAACACATTTAGGTTTGCTCCTCTTATACCTTACACCTGATTTACTTGTCCACAACAGCAGGTTGCAGCAGAGCAAAACCACTGCGCCTCCAATCTGCTGCACAAGACTCACCACCACAGA